TAAGCAAATACAATTTGTCATTTGAATTCGAACTCGAGACGTAGTGGCAACAAGGAAATGTAAACGCATCTGAATATCTTCGATAATTTCGAAGTTGCGTCTTATCTTCAGCGCCTATCATCTAAATACAAAGGGTAAATCCCTTTCTCTTGTTGAATAGCAGGATGAAGCATATCCTCAAATTTGTTTACCAAATTTTCAAGAACCGTACGAAAACCAAGCGATGAAACCGCATATTGCAGATCTGATGACACGATCGTGGAAGTGGCTTGATTATAATTTCCATAATTTATATACAGTGCTATTCATTAAGAAGTAGACTACCTATGTCTACTTTTAAATGACAAAATCTCTTCTGAACGGCGCCTAATTTTATGCAACCAAAATAACTTCTTAAAACAAAATATAGATCTGTCTGTCACATTCATTAAATTGAATATTATTGCTTTGGGTTCCGTATTTTTATTTTCGATTGTGTGCGATGTATTTAACTGAAGAAGGTGATATTGTCAATTGGTATAGTGCCGGAAACAGTTTAAGGAGCGTAAAAAAATTTATTTTCTGTTCAACCAAAACAACAATATTCAAACTAATTAATATGACAATGATGGATGATAAAATGCCTGCGCCCTTCAGGAGAAATTTTGTCTTTTAAAAGTAGACATAGGGAAAAACAGACGTAAATCCCTATGTCTACTTCTTAATAAATATCACTGTATAAAATTCTTCTGTATGTGTGTTTGTGAATAAACTCCTCCTAAACGCGGCTGGGAGGATTTTGATGAAATTTTGTTTGTGTGTCAGTGTAAAGCGGGATGGTTTAGATTCACAATTGGGCCCGATCGGATTATAGAATCTTTTTAAAAAACTTCTTTTTTTCGTTGATGTCGCACTCTGATATTTCGCGTACCAATCGATACATGCGCCAAGTCACTTGCGTTTTACCATGGTAGGCTCGGTGGTAGGTGTGTTTGCATTTTTACAATCTGTACGCTGGGTTTCCGTTATCATATATCTGTCAATATCGAGCGGACGAAGTGCTTTATGCTTTCATATTTTTGTATTCAAAACAGGACCGTTTTCGTTTAAGGGTGTTTTAAAAATGAGATTTGCACCTTTGAAAGATTACCCAAAACTTCCTCATAAAAGAATTTCGTTCTTTAAATACCTCTTTTCTAACCCAATTATTTTGAAAAAAGAAAAAATCAAGTCAATACGTATTCCAGGCAATTTTTTCTACATTGTTATATGGGAAATTTTAGGCGCAAATCGGTGTAGAATTTTCTAGAATATTCTAGATTTTCTTCCGAACTTTTCATGAATTTCCTAGATTTTTTTTAGAATTTTAGTGTACACAAAATTTGAAGTGGTTTACTCCCAGGGGTAATTTTTTCCAGCCCTACATGTACACACAAAAGATCTAAAAGAAATTCTAGAGAATTCTAAAAATTTGTATAAGATAATTGTGTGTGCATGTGCGTTCGGAAAAAAATCAAGAGAAGTTCTAAAAAAATTCTAAATAAATTCTAAACAAGTATAAATTGTGCACAAGTGCAGATAAGACGCATTTTTTAAACCGAAATAGCTTTTGTTTTGACATCACCAATCGCCCTTTGTGAGTACCCTCTTCCGACAATCTGTTCTTGATTAAAGGCATGCGTATGCAAAATCTGAGACCAATTGGTTGTCGTATGTGAAAGTTATGCACGTTTTACTTTCAAAAACAGCATCTCAGGAAATAATTCGTGGGGGGGGGGGCCTTTTAGACAGCGAAATTTGATAGCCGTCTCCCAAACCTTCAAGGTATAGCCTACCTACTGCAAAAAAATTCCAGGACTGTAGGACCATGTAGTTCAAAACGGCGGAAGTGGGTCCGGACGGACGTACAAAACGCAAACATTTTTTTAATTCTTAAAAAATGCGCTAAAAATGGTATCAAAAAAATTCTACAGAAATTCTAAACTTCAAAACGGCGGAAGTGGGTCCGGACGGACGTACAAAACGCAAACATTTTTTTAATTCTTAAAAAATGCGCTAAAAATGGTATCAAAAAAATTCTACAGAAATTCTAAAAAATTCCCCATTTGATTTTTCCAAATATTTCCGAATCTAAAACGGCATAGGCTGTGCGCATAAAAGCATAATTTATTGAGACATAGTAGATACAACAAAATTGGTAATTTCCCGTTGGGTGAAAGATCCCGCCGATAATTTTCCTATAGGTCACGTAGCCATACTAATAACGCAAAATAATCGATACATAAGTGTTTATAGAAACTGCATTCGATTAATATTTCGGAGAAAAACCCATGATACGCCACTGTTTTACGGCGAAGTGCAGCAATTCAAATTGCACAAGGACAAAACATCGCTATTGGTCGCGTGTAAAATAGAGTACGGTTTGGCTTTTCTCAAGCGAGAAAAGGAAGGCGGTCAAGTTTAAGCTGAGGCGGCAGAACGACAGAATGTAGATAGCTTTTGGTGGTGTGTGTTTGGTTTGATTCGCAAATATAGGTAAATGTTAATGTATCCTTTATTTTTTCCTTTGTAATTACTGTAATTAGCATACGGTGTAGGGTACTTGTTTTGTATTACTTGCTTGTCGATTTATTCGTATGTTTGCTTTTATAAATTTGAATTAGCAAGGCTTCCATAGGTGTGGGCGGCTTTCATTTCAGATTAATATACAGGGCGTTTAGATAATTTAGGGTATCAGGGAACGTTTGTTACGTAGTTAGTGCCATGTAACTTTCACACATATTTTGTACTTTATAGAGTGGCAGGAAGATGACGATTTTGTTATCGGTTAGTACGATTGGTCAGGGAATTTTTTTGTTTATGTGGGGGCGGAATATTATTGTTGAATTTGTTTGTAGTTGTATTTTTTGCACCATCTTATTTTGCATAAATGCCAAATGGGATACTTTTTCGCCTTTTCATGACTCCTGAATATTTGAATTCTTATGTTACATGAAAACTGTTATTGCATGGATCTCGATATACGTAACTCAATGAGACAACACAAAGGCGGGCGCCTGAACTCAAATCACCAACCCTAAACCGTGAACATACTACTATATTGTTGTTATGATGAGACAGGTACAATATTTTAAATATCGCTACAAAGTCATGATTAAAAGGGAAATAAAATTCTCCGATGTCGTACAGGTTGAAAATCGAGTGGAAAACTACTATAATTTAAAATTGTTAAATGCAAATTGGGAAAGAAGTGATAAAGTAAGTCAGTATATATCCTAGAAGATTTTCCTTCCTTGTAATCAACGAAGTCCCTAGAGCTACTCTCGTGTGATTACGAGAGAACAACCATGATTTGAATTTGGATTCGATTGTTTTTCTTATTAACGTATTTAATTAAATTTCACTCTCCCCATTTCTTTCTATCTTAACATAATGTTAACAAGATTTTGAACAGCATTTGGAAATCTTTCGAGTTCTTATAACAAAACGGGAAATATAGCTCATGAACTTACTTCATGGCGATAATTTAATCGGCTATAGACACATGTTAAATTATAGAGAAAAAAGATTTAACAATTCTGTATAAATTATCGGGGATTCTGCAAATGTATTTGCTGCCTTTCAATGGAGTTCTTTTAGAGTATGTTTATATTTTAAATGAATTTCGATTATATCAATCAATATTCGGCAAAAAAAATGGACGTTTAATGCACGAATTTCACGAATCCTGAATTTAAAAAAACTATCGAGCTCATTTCCTTTTTGTATAAAAAATGTTAAAATTTACCTGGATTGATGCTTCACCCTACACAATTACCCTCATTACATTCACCCCAGCATATCGTAAGTAATAGTAATGTATTAATACCCAGCTTTTTACAATCGGCAATCCTGCAGTGCATTTTTTCAATAGGTTGACGCCAAAATTCCATATATTTCGTACACATTGGCGCCGACATGGGTCACACCGAAACGAGCAACGTACCATCCCCGATAAAAATAGCTGTGGAACAAAATGTCTAACAAAAGGGCGTCATGGTGAGATTACTTTGAAGAAGAAAACGAGTTCTCTCTCTGCCTTTGTACTTCATACAATATACCAATTTGAATCTAATTAGCGCGACTATCTATTGCGCTTCATTTCGCAAAGTCAACATAATCAACGCGCGAATATTATTTGCGTTTCTTTATCAAAAATCCTTGTAAAACAATAAACGTTTTACACCGCGCCTAATTAGCAGCCATATAAACAAATTGGAGGCTGTAATTGAAACTGATTTGAGGGCGAAGGTGCCCGTTTTAATTTCGACAGTTTCCTAATTTTGAAGAGGGTCGTTCGTTCACGGCGAGGCGCCTTTTGTTCTTACAATCCCCCGAAGAAAGGAATCTTTTCGAGTGGTTAGTCCGGCTGAAAGAATCTTTTACGTTTTATGATGTTATCCCGGTTGTAGCTGGCAGCGGTGAATGTTTATGGTCCCATCTTAACATAAAGCAAGATGCACTTGACTAAAAGGCATTTCGCTACCATTATCTTTGTGTATATCTAATCAAACTGACTGGACCCTTATTTTATTTTTGAAAGGCGAACAACAAAAATTCTGCCGACAGGCTAAAGGTACAAGATTAAAAAGGTGCTTGTTTCCATTTTTAGGGCATGTTTCGATTGATGTTCGACTTGATAGTATTGTTTTTTAATGCGCGAGATTTTGATCTTAATCGCAAAAAAACGCATTCAAAACTTGTCACGCAACAAATTTTCTTGTTAAGCGTGTACATCCGAAAACTAGTTTTGTTTATAAAAATCGTGTATGGGCTTACCGTCTTGTAATACAAATGCGGCTCTAGAAAAAGGAAAGTTTCACCTACAGTTGCTGCACACAAGCAAGAATAATTACCACCTACTTGATTTAAACGACCTACTTTGTAACAGAATGCGTTAAAAACTACCATGTGAACTATTGTGTATTGATAAGCGACCGGTTGGATAAGTAAACATTTAAATTATTTAAATAAGTACGTACCTTTCCGCGCATTTTTCGGGAGGTTTGGTGCGCTGACTGCGATTAAATCGTACAAGCTTAACGGTCGTAATCCGCACAAAAAAAAACAACGCGCACGTACACAAAAAACTAGCCAAAATAAACAGCGTGAAACAGGTATGTTATTTCATTAGCGCGAAGCCGCGAACTAAAATGTAATTCGACTTAACTGTAGGTAGAAAGGTAAGTTGAATACCTTCCTACAGGTAACAGGTAAACCTCATTCCGACTTTCTTGGTACATATGGCAGTTCGGCCGTTATCGAGGTTTCTTTTTTGTATTTTTCTCTTTCTCCATCGCGGGCCGAGGTTGATCTGATTGGCACAGTTTCGGGGTGGCTATTAAAAATTAAATGGAAACATAAATTAATTTAAATTTTTGTTCGTAAATGTGTCTATATATGGTGCCAGTTCTTCCTAACGCGTTTATTCAAATGGAGGATCGTCACTGCTTTAAACTTTGACCCAAAAGTAACATTTTAACGCAAATTTTTAAGAATTAAAATCAAAAAACAGCACAAGCTACGCTACAATTTTTTAACGCATTCTTAAAAAATGCACTATTGTTCGCGTTTTGTCCGTCCGTCCGTCCTGATCCACTTCTACCGTTTTGAACTATTTCTAGAGGAATGGTTCTAGTGTCCTGGAATTTTTTTGCAATAGGTAGGCTATACCCTGAAGGTGTGCCAGACGGCCATCAAATTTCGTTGTCTGGGGACAAGCGACCCTTTTTCAGAGGGTGACGGGGCCGAGGGAATGCTGAGGGGGGGGGGGGGATAAATTAATTTTATCTTTAATAGTATTGCAATGAAAGGTCTCAACGAAAGGAATCGTTTTCTACCAACTACCGCCCTCTTTCTGGCCCCTTATCAAAAGGGGTGGGGTGGGGGGCTGGAACTAAGTTCATCCTTCATGGTACTCTAATACCAAGTCTCAACGAAAGGAATTCATTTCTACCAACCATAGTCCTCCTCCTCGACTCCTTAGAGAAGAGGGTACTACTCTACTCACAAAGGGCGATTGGGACGTCTAGAAGAAATATATCCATTGGTGATGGTGATATCAAAACTTTAAGAGCGAAACATCTTGAAAACGGTTTGTCGGAAGAAAGTACTCAGAAGGCAAAACGAATCGACCGGACGAGACATATCTATTGGTGAAGTCGAAGCAAATACCTTGACAACGAAGAGTTGTGCACAACAAAAAAATATATTTATGAAGTTTTAAAGTTTTAAAAAAGCAATTTTAACGCATTTTCCCACGAAGTTGAGTGCGCTATTGCGACCACTCCCTGTCCGTCCAACTGCTCCTACAGTTTTATATACAGGGTGCCCATTGTGAATGGAATATAATATATATCTCTGTAAATATTGACTGTATACAACATTTTTCTATATGAAAGTTGTTTAGCATTTAATTTCCCATAAGGCAGCTTTCCATTGTTTTAAGGCAGCATACCATTGTTTTTATTTTAGAAAACAAATGACTATAGAAAAACAATTGAATTTTTTTTAATAGCAATGCACACTTTCATTATGCTCATTTGACAGAGATTTTTTTTCTCTTTTTAATGACCTACCACGTTAGAAAAAATTCATTTTTTATTCCAAGCTTTTTGTGATAGGTTATTCCACTGGCTTGCAGTTAATGGTGAACATTTTGAGCATTCATTGCGATGAAAGCCACTTTACTGGTAATTTCGTTTTGTCTTCAAGGTTTAACAAGAAACGTACACGTTCAATTGTTTTATTTATCTGGACCTAAATTTTGTTGAATAAGGGTACTAACATGTTATATCATAGAAAAGAGAAAAAAAATTACTATCAAATGAGCCTAATGAAAAGGTGCACTGCCATTTAAAAAAATTCAATTGTTTTTCGTTACTCATTTGTTTTCTGAAATAAAAACAACTGAATGCTTCCTTATTATGGGAAATAAAATGTTAAACTACTTCCATATGGAAAAATTTTGAATACATTCGATATTTACCGAAATATATACGATATTCCATACATAATGGGCACCCTGTATGGAGGTCGTGCTTTTGGAATTCGGTAGCCTATAGCTTTGGCACCTGAACCAAGAAAAATCTTAATACTTCTTGTACAGGCACACAGATCACGTATAGTAATAAATAATAATAATAATAATAAACTACAAAGATAGGACCACCCAATAAAGTTATACGCACTAGCACAGTTAAAAAACACAAAACTCCTTCTTCTCAGAAACACAGCACGTTATCACAACCCACTCGTATTCAACCCAAACGCAAAGCCAAAGAAACACTTATACAATAAACTCCATTTAATAAAATTGCTAAACAGGAATTATTATAATTATTTTTTTGTTTTGTTTTCCTCTTTCCCGATAGCGTGGGGTATTGTGACCATAATAATAATAATAATATTTATTTCCAACAGACAAAGTCTTATACAGAAAATATCCGGTTACATGTATAGTTTTCAGTCCTGCATTACATATAATCTGTAAAAACTAGATGTACGCATGCACAAAGCCAACTTATACATTTCTTTGAAATTTAACCATAGATGCTTCTAGTATCAATCAATCATTCTTTATTGGACGCCAAAATGGCTAAACTGTTTACAATATAAATTATAACTAAAATGCGATTTTATTCTTCTTTTCTCTTTAGTATCCCCCTCATCCAGTTCTCACCTCCTCCCCCTCATCCGGCACCTCATTCCTACTTCCCCTACCACGTTCACCTCCGTACAGTTCCATAACATGTGTTCTATGTTCTCTTCTTCTCCGCATATTCTACATTTTCTTTCTTCTTCTTGTCTCAATTGCTCATTTCCGTCTCTCTTAATTTCCGCATCTGAATCTGGCTATTATTTTAATATTCTCCCTTGTATTCTTCCTTCATTCCCACAAATATTTTAATAGCCACTTATTAGCTCTTTATAACTTGTACTACCGCATCCGCTCTCTATATTCGCCCTCTGTTGTTGTATTTGTGCATCTAGAACTTTTTTTGCGAACTCATTTTCCATCTTTCCTCCTAGCCCTCTCCTCCTTTTAACCTCAGCACATTCTCTTTACGTTCATCCTCGTTGTCAAGCATAATTTTACTAATTCGCTTTTTCTATCGCCCCTTTCGAATATTACAGTCCTGCGCCCCGACACTATACTTATCTTTTCCATTTTTGTTTCTTCCTCTAATATGGCCCACACACATAAACGACTTCGTACGCGACATTCAAGAAAGACGATTGAAAACCAGCACAATTGTATCGAGCCATTGTAGCTATAACGCTCACTGTAATGGGGTGTGCACTACCCCTCATCCTTTTAACTTTTACAGCTCCCACTCATCCCACTTAATTTAATTTTAAAAAACAAAAAACCACGGGTCAATGATCCCACAAGTGACTCCATTAAAAAAAAAACCAAAAGAGCCATGGAACAAAGATCCCACCCATCCCAATTAATCCCGTTTAAAAAACAAAAGAAAAAATAGAATGATAAAAAAACATTCCGATGAAAAATCCCATCCCAATTAATCCTGTTTCAAACAAAACCAAAACAAAACGAGATGGAATGATAAAAACAGTCCGATGAAAAAAAAACCAAAAGAGCAGGAGACAAAAATCCCACTCTTCAAAAAATGAGCAGGGCATAAAATAAAAATTCCACTTCATAGAAACCCAAAAGAGCACGGGACGATGACTATCCACAAGATTTGCTAGTTATTATTGCAGCGATCATTCTAGAACATTTTTTCAAGGCGCAATCATGTCGATTCATCATAAGGAATGAAAGCGAACGTGACTCATTTTTTCTGCAGAATATAATGCCGATTTTTTCTAGAAGGTTCACTGTTTGCTACATACTCAAATTGAATTGTGTTTAGTCTCCGTCTTAACATCGAAGTGATAAATAATCAAATCTGTTGTCGCTTTTCGGGTCCTTAAGCTTTTCTCTGCTCTCTTAGTTTTGAAGAACCTGAATGGGTTTTTACGGATCCTCAAGAGTCTTTAAAGAGCTCTTAAGAGTCGGCTACAGTCTCGGGAATTTTCAAAGCCTTGTGAAGTAATGTATTATGAAAACTCTGATAAGTGATAACAGATTCAGATTCTTCGAAAAAAAGTGCCTACAGAAGGTGCTAAGGGGCACCGTCCGTTTCCGACCGTTTAAGCTAGAGAAATTTGACATTTTTAGATTTTCGGTGATTTTTTAGTCACAAAAAGATTCAATGGACGTAAAAATCTCCCAGTATCTTCTGTAGTATCCGAGAAAAATCTGCGAAGAATCGTTAAAGAAGCTTTTAGATTCTGTAAAGGATGTTTAAAAAAACAGGAGAAAATCTAAATTCTTTTAAACTGGTCTATGAGCCATTTAAAAAAACATCTTTCAATCTATCATGAATTCTTGAAGAGATTTCTTGATTTTCCACGTCTTTAAATTTGAAAAAAGCAGATAATTATTGTACGGCATCATTTAAATTACTAATAGCATTGTGGGAAGCACACAACACATACATAGCATAGCAGCGGGCCCGGTATTGACACTTGCGGCACGCCAGCAATGCCATTGGCTCTTGATCTATATCCGTCTCTAAAATTCCAATATATTACAATTTTTGACTGCTAAGTGTGGTTCAAAAGAATTTCAAATAAGCCATTAAATCTGTGCTGATTTGAGTTTGGGCGTACTGGATATTCCATTCATTGCCATACTTTCGTTCGTGGAACCAATACCGTGTAGTACGGAAAATTAGGAACAGTGCGGCCGACTGAAAATTTTTAAACAGCTTCTGTCGATTGTCCCTCATACGTTTAATGAAATACATTAATGGTTTACCGTTAAAATAAATTATGGAATGTAGTCAAGCGAATGAAATAAATTACAGTAATTATACATAAATTCTTACGGATCTATAAACTAATAAAGTTACAGAGTGCAGATAATATACGTGCATGAGAGGAGCGAGGAAACAATTTTTCGAACAATTTATTGGTGGGTATGTCAAAGTTTAAATTCTGGTATAAAAAAATCGTTTTTATACGAAAAAAATGGTAGTTTATGGTTATACAGGTTTAGTGTTTTAAAAGCTTGGCGAAAGAATTTTTTAAGAGTAATCGGGAGCTGCTCCAGTACTTTCTAAGGGACGCAGCGG